AGTAGCTAAGACACTGGTGGCGAGGAGGGGTTTGGATGGTTGATTTCGCATAAACCCCAAAATAGAAAAATTGTACAAAACCAAATTGTGCTCATAAATAAAAATGCGAAAGAAAGTAAAATATTTGCCAGCATTACAATCAAAGGCACACCATGACACAAACACACACACGCAAGCAAGAGATAGCTGCTCTCAAGTACTCAAAAAGTCACACACACATATACACACAACCTTATAGTCATTGGTGCATATCCTTGAATAAGCGAACCGTTAAAGGGGTAACGAAGAAAACTGAAATAAAATAGGAATTCATTCCCCGAAAATTCAATAGCTCGGCTCAGTGGTGGCATCCAAAAAAAAAAAAAAAAAAAATAGCAGCAACAAAACCCTAAAGTGTATTTGCCCCTAAGATGTTGCAATATACACAACAACAACAGGAAGAAAATAGAAAACAAAAATCCATGCAATTTATTTGCCCTGCCCGTTATTCGCTACCAACTGTTGTTGCTGCTGCTGCCGCCACGAATCGCCAGTTATTGCCTCTAATGCCCTACTCCAATCCTCAGTGGCGTTTTTCATTTCTAGAAGTGTATCTCTTCTTCTCTATTTTTTTTGTTCTTCGAACTGCAATGGGATTCAAGTAGGAAATCGCTAATATGCGATTTTTTGTTTATTCATTTTTTGTGTTGCCATTCAATTTTTTGCATTCAATGGCCATTGGTTAAAATGGTATTAAAGTATTTCACGTTGTTTTTTTTTGGCTATTTTTGTGAAATGGCAGAAAATGGAAATTCATTTCAGTGGCCTTTCATTTAAATCGCAAACAAAAAATGCTGAATAGCAAGATATTAGTTGTATTTTTTTGGATTTGATTTGTATTTTAAATGTAATTGAAAAATGTTTATAAGAAATTGACATGGTTTAACGTGAAGAGGATGAACTATTCAATTATAGATTAAATTTAATCGCGAAGTAGAAGCAGTTGCAATCTCAATTAAATGTTGATGTTGAAGGAAATGGGAAAATCTATAACGAGGTCAATAAAAATGTGCATCACGATTACACCAATAAAAATATACTCCATACATCGAATGGAGGGTATAACCAATATTTCATTCCGTTCCCTCAAAAGATTCATTAAAGGCACAGCAGAGTCTATATATTCAAGGCTCCCCTAAGTCGATCTAAAAATTGTCCTCTGTCCATCCGTCATTTGAAATTAAGATAGAGGTAATCCAATTTTCAAGATAAAGTACCGAAATTGATTGCTTAAGTATGGACTAATCCCCCAATTGGCTTAACTTCATATTACTCTCTATTAAAAAGAGCAATGTTTAACAAAACGAAACTGACACCTTTGCAATATTTCCTGATTGCTACCAATATCGTTATTTCTTCCCATGACTGATATCAAGAAGCTGAAAAAGCTAGGGGGCCATTCTCTTGGCCTGGAATCTCCAACAATAGCAAAGTACTCTAATGAAATTTGACAGAGATGTTTGTAGTACTCTTAATATATTTATTATTGAAAATTTGGATTTATTGGTCCACATTTAGGTTCTGGTACTTTCTTATTTTCAGCATTTTGAAAGTTTAAACCCCAATTTTTAAAAAAAATATTTGAATTTGATACTTCGGTTGGGTAGATGAACTCCTCTAAAAAGTTTATTTAATAGATGGATATGCCACACATAAAGGAATTTTAAAATTGTTCATATCCTGCGCCATTTGGAAACATAGCAACACTTCCGAAAATATTCCGAACCGAGAACCAAGGTCTAGTATTCGAGTGGCATACGATATTTCTGTTATTTAGAACTTTCGATACGAAATGTAAAAAAAAAATCGTTGAAAAAATTTACTAAAAGTATAAGTTACTACAAAATCCAAATAGTAAATTCAGTCGAAAATGTGGATTGATTCATAAAAATATCGGATATGTGGACCTACATAGAAAAACTCCTGCCCAAAGACATATAATATACAGGGTGAGATAAAAAAACTGCAGCAAAGTCAAACGCCATAATTTTTACATTTTTTTAAAATTTCACTGAATGAAAGCAAAAAATGCCGGAAATGGCATCAAATTCTAGAATAAGTTTAGATGGCACGAATTATGGACTTCAAACGGCCAATGAAATCGTCACACATTGCCCGAATGTTGCTCTGCCGTATTTTGGTCCATTCCCGGCGAAGCGCTTGCTTGAGATGATCGGCACTTTGGTATTTTTAGTGAGAATCTTGCTTTCCAAAATACTCCTGACACAATAGTTCAACGGAATGGTATCCGACAATTTTGGTGGTCATTTTGGGATGGAAATGAAGCGAGGAACCTCATTTTGTAACCATTCTTGGGTGGGCGCGTGCTGAGTGCGATGGTGCTGAGTCCTGTTGGAATGTCCAAGGCCTGCGACCAAAATGTTTGCTTTAATACACCCTCCAGAATATTTTCGCGATCATATTCGGCATTTATTCTGATGCCATGGTCGATTAATACGAGTGGAGAGCGACCATCGGCTGTTATGGGGACCTACACCATCACCATGGCCGGTGCTTGAGTTCTGATGGCCAACCGAAGGTGTAAATTTTCAGCTGACCTCTTTGGCAAGTAAACACGATATTTTGTTTGTTAACAAACTGCTGGACAGCAAATGTTTTCTCATTGGAGAAAACCAAATTCGGCAGTTCACCACTTTCGACCAAGCAATGCAACTCTTTAGCTCTTCTGAGTCTATTTTTTTTCTGTTGTGGTGTAAGTTCTTGCACTTTTTGGAATTATAATGGCATTACCCAGAGCTCTTTTTCTATAGTTGGAGAATGAAATATTGCGATATGTGCAGCTCACGCGGGCTACGCTAACAGTATCATGGTAACGAGCGTTGGTGCGATATACAAAAGATTTATTCACATTTAAATGCTGGAATGCTCTAACGATAGCCACTTTTTCCAGCCAAATATAAAGAAATCACACCATCACGCTTGAATTCCATCACGAATAACTTTTTTCTGGAAAATTTTGACCAAAATGGCTTTGTACGATTGTAAACTATGTAATTAGCTGTCTTTGGAATAATTTTAAGAGCTGTCGGAATATAGGCTAAGAAATGACAGCAGTCTGAATTTGGTTGCAGTTTTTTCATCTCATCCTGTATACACTTTGTGGGGTCTAAAGTGCTTATTCGGAAAATACGTTCTTTTTGCTATTTCCTGGGGAAATTTTGCGAAAAATACTTGTTTTCTAGTAAGATTATTGAAAAGTAACTCTCTGTAGAGTATTCTAGAGATGAACTAATTTATTTTTCCTCAGGTACTATATTTTCCTAATTTTCTTTCAGCCCATTTTTACTTTTATGCCTGTCCCGACCTGTCTGTAATTTGAAATCTATGAAATACCATACAAACCAAATTACAGCTAATTCGGTTGGAAACTGCTGCCAAATCTACCAAATCTCAAAAATTGTTTAAGATAACATGTCCCTCATTTTTATATTGAAAATATATATATTTTTTATAAAAATATGGTCCAATTATTGAAAATTAAATTGTTTAAAAACTGTGATATCGAAAATTTTAAAAATCAAACATTAAACTTAAGCCTTGAATCCGTAGAAATAACTAAACCAATTTTTTATAAAGTAAAAGAGGAAGACGAGAAAACGAATCACGAAAAAACGTACCAATCTACGGCAACCCCGTCCGAATCGTTTCGTTTTTCCCCTCCGCCTTGCAATAGAGAGAATAATTAATTTGACATTCCCTTTGTAACTCATCGAATATTTTAATTCTTCTTTATAAGCCAAGACACCAAGCGTCCGTCTGCCTTCCAGTCGATGGTAATCACTCAAATTTTTCAAGATGTAGTTTTAAATTATTAAAATTTTACTCAAATACGATGAAGTTCACCTTTTGGTTTGGCCCTCATATAACAGTACCACCCGATTTGTTAGACAAAAAGACAAAAATATTTCTATGTTTGTCTACATTTCGGTTTTAATTTGGCATAAAGGATTCCTATTGAGAGCGTCAACCTATTACGAAAAATAGACGGAATCGCCACATTTGGATATTTCTCCCGATTTAAAAATCTTTTATACCCTCCACCATTCTATGGAGGGTATATTATATTTGTCATTCCGTTTGTAACTTCTCGCAACATTCATAATAGACCCTTCAAAGTATATATATACTGGATCAGCGTAAAATTCTTGGACGATCTAGCGACGTTCGTCTGTCTGTCTGCCCGTTGTAATCACGCTATCTTTCGAAAAAATTGAGATAGAAGGCTAAAATTTTGCATGCATGCATAGGAATCGTTTCAAATTTCGTACTGGAAGATCCTAATGGGTACTACAACCTGTGGAAAAGAATGTTGTATGCAGGTTCACATCTTCGTATAGCCACCATATAACGGTACCTCCCGATATTCGGTATTTTCATTATTTTGGCGATATTAGTTACCGAAATTATTTCGAATTTCATATTTAAAGCTCGTAATGGGTACTACAGCCTATGGCAACAATTTTATATATGACGGTACCTTCCGATACTCCGTATTTTCAGGATTTTTGCGACATTATTCATTATTATTATTCCGTAATTTAACAAATTTCGTATTTGAAGTTCGTAATGGGCACTGCAGCATATGACAGAAATTTCGTATGAAGGCCCACGCCTTTGTATAGTCCCTATATAACGGTTTTCATTTAAGTGGTAGTTATAGGAATGGTGGGGGGTATTAAAATGGTGGGGGGCATTAAAGGTTCTGCCCGGTCTAACTTAGCTGCTTTCTCACTTGTTATATTATCAATTCGATTTGATCTGATTTTTTGCAATTATTACTTAACATCACCAACACCTGATATTATAGTAACAATTCAGATTTTTTAAAATGTGAAAAATATTTTATAATCCTGTTGATATTTCGGATTTGTAGGATGTAATTTCGGTGATGCTTCTTTATTTGTCCTTATTTTTTAAATATTATTTCATTGTTGTCTTACCTTTAGCAGTTAATGTAGGTTAGGATCTGTCTGAAAAAAAAATAAAATTAAATTTTTTAAATTATTTATACAATATTTAATAATGTAAAATATTAATTTAAAGAGGCAATGAAATGTAGCAATGCATTTGCGGTAAACTAAAATGACTAAGTCACCTATACTTCATTTCATGGACTAAAAACCAAATTTGAAAAATTGCCCCAGATATTCCTTTGCCAAATTATAGCTTTTCCCGGAGGTAATTGTATTGACCAACCACTAGAAATTCCAATTCAAGCAGACTACCATAGACTGCAATGTGCAGCAAAAAAAAAAAAACAATGAAATTCAAAGCCGAAATTCAAATAACCCGCCATTCAGTCTACATCTCTCGCTTGATTGGAAACCAAGGAGAGCGCACACACACACAATGTTGGCGTATGCGACAATGTTGTCATTAATTTCCAATGCCATTCATTACCGTATATCGTGTATATCCTATTTCTAGGATTGATTTAATATAACAACAAAAAGCAAGAGCCAAAATTTGAATTTCCTTCCGTTGCAATCCAAAAAAAGAGGCAAAACAGAAGCCAATGCGACAGAGTGACAACAAAAGAACACAAAGACATCCAACCGTAGTGTGTGTGCCAATGTGTGCGTGTGCAAGAAACAAAACGCATTCAAATTTTTGTGACAGGCAATGCCAACAATGGAAAATGTGTGCCAAAACCCAGTGACAGGGTTTTTGCTGCAGTCACTGGACTGGAGTAGTGACAGTCCAGTTTAGGACGGTTGGGGTAAAACAAACATTCGTACAACCATTAATTTCTCAAAGTTTAACTAAATAAAAAGCTAAGGACGCCCAGTTTGTGTGTGTGTGTGTGCACAGGATGACAGAATAGGACGAAAAAAAGGAGGAAACCCCTGACGCCAGAATGTCTTGCACACATGAAACCAATTTTAGGTTGGGTCAAAAAAAATACACTTAAAAGATATGTATAAGCTTTTTCCAAACCTTGGAGTTGAAACAAATCTTGATTTAGGTTGTGTTTTTTTTGTTGATGCATTTAATTTCCGATTTTTTCCACAACTCTTTTTTAGTGGCTGATCAACTTGAAAAAAATGTATGGTTTTGCAATTCTATGTTTCCAGTTGCCGTATATTTTTTGCTGCTGCTGTTCCAGTTTTTTGCATAAAAAACTTTATTTAGTTTTCTATATTTTATGGGCGAGTCGCGTGCCAATTGAATGTTAAAAAACGCCAAAGCTTCTCGCAATCTGCAAACACTCACACACACATTTATATATTTGTTGTCTAATCAGATTTGTGATACATATGAATGTCGTTTGGTATTCTATTTCATTTCATGGCGCACAAAGCCCGATAGGAAAATCGCAGAGAGAGGGCATTACAATTGTAAAGCAATTGTTTAAACCTGGCGCCAAAATAACTTAAAACATCCCAGGAGTTTTAATACGTTGTGTGTGTGTTTCACACACACACACACACTATGTAAAATTTCAAGACCTGCTGCTGCCGCTGTTAGGCATTTTTTTATATTCCATGCTCTTGTTTGTGAAACTATAAAAAAATGTCTACATAAATATTCATAAGGATGTATGTGTCACCTGTACGTGTACGTGCAAATGTATGCATCGCACGAACACACACGTATTCCTTGTTTCAATGAAAACTTTAATCAAACTCAAATATTACCATAGTTTTGGTGTATACATGTCAATGCATGTGTGTGAGAGGTGTGTAAGGATTCTCTTGAAACATATGCTAATTAAATGCACGTAACAACTAAAAGATATATGTGAGTATGTGATAGCAACTTGCAGAGCTATCTCTGTTGTTGAGAGATTGAAAAAATGCAGTGACGTTGCTTAAAAAATGGTAAAAATTTGAAAACATCTCAAATGGAACGTTAAAATACTTGCTTTAAAAGTCCGATTTCTTCGCCAACTTTTTTTCTAGTAAATATAAACATCATTAATAAATCTCGGAAAATTCCGTGGGTTTGAAATGCAATAATCTCCGACTGTCTTACAAGTCCAATCTTCCTTAACAATTTGTTGGGAAAAAACATATAAAAAAAGGAGCTACGAGCTCCCAGGCCGAAATTTAGTACAATCCACCATAAGGCAGGAATTTTTGCGCCTCTTATGGGTTGGTACATTTCAACGAGGGCTTTAAAAAATCGTGAACATATAGACGAATAATGTGGCAGGCGGCACCTATTGCGAATCCCAATATTATCTACGGCTGAAAATTTAGTTGATCGTAAGTACATCAAACCATTTAATGTTTTTTAATTTCATTTTGAGATTCTGTATATATTGTTGTTGCAAAATGCTCAGACTTAATCCCATTATTGCTGTTTTTATAAAAGCAGCGTTTGTTTATTAGTGGAGAACGATTCTTTATATATTTGACCTCACGTAAGGTCAAAGTGTTCAGTTCCAATGACCAGGGAATTATTTGAGACTATACCATAAAATAATAATATGGCCAGAGAAATCAAAACACAGGAAGGGATTTGCTGTTTTTACCCAATAAGATTACCTCCACATAGAATCAACTCTCAGACAGTAACATTTGGGAACGTGGATCTGAGAGGTACGGCTATTAGGGCCAACATCACAAAATATAAATCTTGGCCTTAGAATTGAAAACATATTTGGGTCTTGCTATTCTGACCTAATACCATCACCTGCATTTAGAATTTTCCACCCCAGAGAATTTTGATTGTTGTGAGATAACTATACCAAAACATATACCAATGTGTAAATTTTTCTATAAGATGATTAATTACCCCCAAAGTCGCCTAAATACAATCTTTTAGCCAAATCGAATGGAAAATGAAGCAAGACCACAGACGTAGGTAAAATAATTTGGTACCTTTATATGGGCGATATTTCAAAACATTACCCTGCATGGTTAATTTTCTGCGAAAAAAATGACAAATAAGGCCAAGTCCATTAAAAAATGTGACCAAGACCCCGAAAATCGGGGGATACTTTAATAAGAGCGTTATAACCAAACGTGGGGCTATATTGATATGTCTTGCAAAATTTGCTGTAATTAGTTAGATAAATAAGACAACTTAAAAAAATATGTCTCAAATGAAATTGAGGTATACCAAAACATAGACCTACATGAGTCATATTTTGTACAAATGATACGATATTTAACCCATAGGCCTGTATAAAATTTCAAAAGGTCTCTCTATTACATTTTGGAAAATATAGGGCATCATATTTGAGAACCTTCGTGTATGGTTAAGGTTATATATAACGAACCCTGAAAAAGTTTCGCCTGAGAACCAAAAATCCTTTAGAGATTTCGATCTACTAACCGAATTAAAAATTTAGAATGTCCCACCTCAAGATCATGACCCGAAAATTGACGCACAGTGTTATTGGTCCTGAGTAAAGTATATTTCACTTATACAACTTCCTCAAATGCGTAATATCTGTCCAAATAGTATCCATATTCAGTCCAGAAGAAAGTCTGCCAATTTTAGTAAAACTTTCTTAGAATAGCTACAAATTCCATATATTTGTTTTTTAAGTATCGCCAAATTTGTGACAATAATTCCACTTCCTACTTCAACATTTTTACAACCGGAACACCTACCTTGTAATTACCGACTACCTACAATCTGACGACCATTTATCAGAGTTCCATATAATCCACCTATAAATTACAAATGGTTAACAGCCATCAGTAACCCGTTATGCCAACAACAATGTTCCATATTATCTTCAAACCAACAACAAGTTCTCAATATCAATACTAATACTCCCGAATAGCTGCGAAGTGTTGAACTAATCGAATTTCCAATTGCTACCGAAGTCAATTCGCCAACTTCCATATAGCATTAAGAACATACCCATTATATAATTTAAACAGGAGTAGATTATAATTGAATTATATCAATGAAATATCCGATTTGCACCTCAAAAAACAGAGAGAATCTACTTTTCTCATTTCATAAGGTTTTTGGAATCCCTATGGAGACATTGGCTAAAACTGAGCTGTCTCGGCTGTCTGGACAAACTAGGGTAGTTTTGACGCAATTTCGTTCAGAATGCTGCAGTCGTCTCATTTTTTTTTTTTGGCAGAAATTGACGAAGACGCTTTAATTGTCCTGCCAAGTCTACATCAATCACTCCAGAATATCTTTTTTTACAGACCACAAATTTAGACGAATTTGCAAACCTGGAATTAGAACCGAATTAGATGAAATCAAATAAATCATGTGTACCTGAAGTCAATAAAAAAATTTTAAAAGTCTAAGAACGATTTTTCCACCATTAACAAACTTCTAACTTTCTTCTTTATTTAAAACATATCTGCATAGACCACTATTTTGTTGTGAAATTAGAATTAATATTTTTCGATAAATATTATGAAATCTCTACCTGATTGCCCACATTTGCAAACATATTTATTAGCTGCATTAGTTCAAATTAAATAAAACAATTATCAATCCATATACATATTTGTTGATCCTATTTAATTTAATAATTGCTTATATTGATTAATTTACATAAGTAACAAATTTTCTATTGTTTGAAAATTAGAATTATACAACAAATGGTAAATTATGTTTATGAACCATTAATTAAGAGTAACAAAGGCTTTAAAGGTTGTGCTGAGCAGCAAAGAGAGACACAAATGAACAAAATGTTGAACAATTAAATTGCAGCAACAGGCAGAAACCTTAATACCGCTTAGGACAAAGCTTGAAAGAATTTAAAATCGTCTTCAATGGAAAATAGTTCCAAATAATTTCCCCGTTATCCAGCCAATTTGGAAGACTGAAATAACACCTCAGCACAACAGATCATACAAACGTCAGATATCTACTCAGTAAAAAGAAAGATAGGTATAAAAAGAAGCTTAGTGTTAAATTTTGTTGTTGCAAAATGGCCAGGCTAAATACCATTATTGTTGTTTTTTATAAAAACAACGTTTGTTTATTAGTGGAGAACGATGGTCATGTTTACCATGGGGTAAGGCAGGGAATACCTAGGTTT